TTTAATATTTCAAAGCTATAGCTGCAGTAGTACATTGGCCCTTCACTGCTCACTCAGGCCAAGAGTAGGCAATGTTTTTTGCTACTGCTTACCTTGACACATTTGATCTGTATAAATTCAATTGTTAGGACTCATGCGAAAAATGTGCAGACAAACAAAATGTCACTTCAAATGCTGTATGCAACATTTATGAAATGAAAGTAGCATAATACGAATTCTCTTATCTCAGTCTTATTTCTGGTACAGAACATGGGATCCCTGGAACATCAGTAAGTAGAGGAAGAAGATTGATTTTAAAAAAGTCCCCACAGGGTGCATCTACACAAGATACTTTAGTGCACAGTAGAGCTAATTACTGCATAGTAAGCATCACTGTCTACATGTGCTGACCCTTACTGCACAGTAATTTCCTCTACTCAGCAGTTAATTTGCTACCTGCAAATGCAAATAGCAAATTAATTATTCAGCAGGGGGTGGGAGATTGCTCCTTGCCTCTGGGAGTTGCACCACTGGAGCCTGGTCTGGGATGATGTTCCTCTGCCCAGCAGCTTATTCCCAGCCCCCCACTCCATGGTCACAATCATGGAGCTGGGGCTAGAAACAAGCTTCCAGCCCCTGCTCTATGCTGGCTCAATCACAGAACAATTCCCAGCCCCTGCTACATGATCGCAGAGATGGGGCTGGGAATAAGTTCCCAGCCAGTGCTCTATGCTGGAGATTGTGGAACGGGGACTGGGAGCTCCCTGCTTGGGGAGAGTTCCCCACCCAGCCTGGAGCTGGCTGGGTCCTGACCGTTACTTGGACAGTTCCCAGCCAAACCTGGGCTCTGAAGAGAAGTCTGCACATGCAGCCTGAAGGTAATTGGAGACTGTTCTGTTTTGGGCAGTCCCCAGCCAGCTCCAGGCTGCATGTGCAGACTTCCCCACATAGCACAGGGCTGGCCAGGAACTGTCTTGGTCAGGGGCAGGTCCCAGACCCACAGATTTTTGCCAGCCCTATGCCCTGATTGGACAATTGAGGTACAGGGTTTGGAAAGAGCTGCAGGGGAGGTGCAGGTCCCAGCCCCTTACCCTGATCCACCAATAGGGCAGTTAGTAGCAAGCCCCCCATCTGGGTGGGGTATCCCTGCCCAGATGGGGGCTCCCTGCTAGCTGCCCCACTGGTGGATTGGGTCAGGGAGCTGGGACTTGCCCTTCCCTGCAGTTCTCTCCAAGTCCCCTGCTCCTGACTGGGGAGATGGTGCCAGAAGCTCCCTGCTGCCAGGACAGGGAGACATTGTTGTCCTCCCCTGGGCTCCGGTGATGGAGCCTGCCCCAGCATCAGGCAGCTTTTGGGGGCAGGAAGCAATCTCCCAGCCCCACCAGCAGATAGCTGTCTTCTGTCTCCATGCTCCCTGCCAGCCCCTGTTTGAGGTAATAGGCAAATTCCAATTCTACAGACTGTGTGAAAATTGTAGATATCAGTTGAACAGGTATGAGATTACTGATGCATCAATATATCATCCAGAATAACTCTTTTACCAATGAAAGAAAAGGTTTTGTTCAAGTCTGAGAAACCCACTGAATTCTATGCCACAGTGCAAATGCCTTCCCCTTATCCACTGTAATATACTATATTGCTCTTAGATAATCTAGGTTTACTTTCATTGGCAATGCATAGGTGGTGTACATGCATCCCTGAGATTGGCCATGTAACCCCTGGAAGTGCCAGCTGCAAAACCAGAAGTGCTGGTGAAAGTGCCGGTGATTCCGCGCTTGATGATCGGCCGCTGGAGGGGACCCCCGCCTGGCCAGTCGGCGATCGGCAGTGGGGGACCCCCCCATCAGTGATCTAGTGCCCCCCACAACTCAGGAGGCACCAGTCACCCATGTTAACTTTATAACCATTTTGGCACTAATACATTCTGTATCTGTTCCCAACAGTGGCTACAGAATATGTATTTTATAGGCAAGGCCGCAGTTACAGTAATTTTACCATATAAACTCCTAAAATGTCCTCCATTCATATAAACACTGCTCATCATAACAAAATAGTGTTAAAAACACTTAATTTTGCACTGTTTCAGAGCACTACAGTGCAAGGAATACTTTAACCAAACTGTTCCAAACATGTTCTCTAATAGCATTTTACCAGTACATCTGTTTTCTTTTGGGTTTTTTTGCTAATCTATTAGCAAAAACCTTCATTCCATTCCATGTTTAGGAATGTAGAACTGAAAAAGACCACCAGGATCATCAAATCTAGCCCCCTACTACTGTATCATATAATCTCCTCTATAAACCAAGCTCCATTTTAATGTTAGTTACATGTTTTGCCTCCATCATTCCTTTTTCAAGGCTGTTCTACAAGTTCAGTGCTCAGATTGTTAGAAATGTTCCTATTATTTAAAGTATTCCTGGCCAATTTATAACTGTTTGCTCTCAAACCAACATTGTTCTTTGGCTAAAATAGCTCTTCTCCTTGGTGTTTTCTCCTGAGATGTATACATGCAGAACCTGAGATGTATACATAAAGAACCTTCATGTCCCCTCTCAGTCTTCATTTTGCTAGCTGAACAAGCCAAGTTCTTTAGTTGCTTCTCATAAATCAGGGTTTCCATTCGCCTGATTTTCCTAATAGCTGCACCATTCCAGTTTGAATTAATCTTTATTGAATATGGGTCACATGTTTTATATCCAGTGTTTCCAGTTTGTACAATGATATTAATACTTCCTGCTTTGCTGGCAGCAAGCCCTCACAGTTGAGAAGGAGCAACTTACTCCCCTGGGTAAAGTAAAGGGTTGTAGATGAGTCCATTGATAGCTAAGAAGGCTGATCCTAGAGATGCAGACTCTCTGGCAGATGCCACAGGTGGTGGTTAAAGAGAGGACTGAACCATGGATTTCTCCATCTTGTTTCCTTTCCTTTCATTTCTGTCTTTTTTTTCTGCCTCTAGGGTGACACAAGTTTTCCTCAAAGTAAAATGTACCGTCTCTCATGAGGCATCCCCATTTAGCCCTGTCCCAGGCTAGTTTTTTCCAATTTGTGATGTCAATGCCATACTTCTCAATGTTCACCTTGAGGGGTCCTTCAAGTGTTTTCTCTGTGTCCTGTGTGTCTTTTGTCCTTGGCTGAGTTGGGAATATAACAGTTGTTTTGGTAACATCAGTCATCTGTACACAATGCCCCTGTCCACTGCAGCTGATGTTCAATAATTATCAATGCTTCTATGCTGGTGGTATTAGCATCAATAAGGACATGGTGTTTCTGTGATAGTCTTCCACTTTATGCCAAAGATCTTCCAGACGTAGCACTGGTGAAGGCATTTCAGACTTTTCAGGTCGTGCCCTGTAGGTCACCCAAGCTTTGCAGCCATAGAGAAGAGTTGGGATTACCACAGCCTTATACAATAGGTCAGGGGTTTTCAACCTTTTTTAGTCTAAGTACCCCTGGTGGCTGGACATGAGGCAGAGGTGGTAGGGGGTGGCACACGGCTGGACGCTGAGCGGGGAGGCTGGAACAGTATGCAGGTTGGCATGGACAGAGTGCTGCTGCCTCCCAAAGGCAGGGCTAGGGCAGGGCAGGGAAGCTTACCAGGCTGCGATGAGGCAGCGGCACCACTCTGTGGGGTGGGAAAGCTCAGTGGGCTGGTGTGTGGTGGCAGCGGCCACCATGTGTGAGCTCCCCACCCTGCAGAGGGGCACTGCTGCTCTCACCCCACCCCAGCCCTGCTCCTGGAAGGCAGTAGTGCTCTGTCCCTGCCCATGCATACCCACTAGGACCAGTCCTGATACAGTTTTCTGAAGGACAGAGCTGGCACATCAGATCCTATACTTCATCTTCTTCTTGAGGCTGGCCTTCTTTGAGAGATGATTACTGAGGTATGCAGAATGTTCAACATAATCCAGCTCCTGTCCATCAAGGAGGATCTTTACTGGGCAAATTAGTTGGCCTGGAGTAGGCTGTTGAAGTATCTTTGTTTTTCCAAAGTTAAGGGTCAGTCCAGGCACTGGTATGCTCAAGAGAAGCAGTTTAGGGCCTTTTGTAGGTCCTCCTCAGTGGGGGCATCTACATGAGATGCAAAATGCACATTAGACTAATTCCACTGTATATTAGCTTGTCATAGCAAAAGCCATGCTAGTGCACTAATGTGCAGTAGAATTAGTCTACTATGCATTAGTGTCACTAAAAAGGTGCGTGATAGCACTACTGCGCTGAAGCACTGGTTACTGCACATTGAGTTAGTAATTGTTACTGCAGGTACTAAACTTAATGCACAGTAGCAATGGCACATTAATGCACATGTAGACAAGTCCAGTATGTGCAATGTCAGCACAGTCATTGGCATACTAAAGTCCCATAATTAAGGCCAATGGTTTTGGCATGGAAGTGGGAAAGATTGAAAAAGTTCCCATCCATCCTGTACTCTGTGTGGATACCATATGGCAGATGATCATGGATGAATAGCGTGATGACCGCAAGAAAGATGGAAAACAAAATTGATGTGATTATGCAACTCTGCTTGATGCCAGTTCAAATGACAAAGGGCTCTGTAGAAGAGCCATTGCATAGAATGGAGGCAGTCATCTGGTCATGAAGAAATCTTAGGATGGTAATAAATTTCCCTGGGAAGCCAAAATTCAATAAGATTTTCCACAGAGCCTCATGGCAAACCTCATCAGAGGCTTTGGTCAAATCAATAAAGACCATATACAGGTCCTGGTGTTGTTCTTGGCATTTTTCCTGTATCTGCTGGGCTGCAAATATCATGTCCATAGTGCCTCTTGATGGTCGAATTCTGCTGAACTCCCCTATTTATATTGTAAATACTTCACCTGATATATTAAGACCACACTTGAGTTTTTTTACAGCATCCTCTCATTTGTGGATCATAATTAACTCGTGATAAACTAATATACGTAAGTCTTTCACCTCCTCTGTAGTTTCCAGTCTCTCGGCTTATAGCAGAATGTTTTATTATTACTCTCAAAGTGTATGATATTGCACATTGTACTACCAACTTTCACCACACTTCTCTTAAGTAAGTCCTCAAAATCTTCCAGTTCTTTCAGTTTGATATTCTGAACTTCATCCATATTGACAATGTCTCCCTGTTTTGTTTTACCAGCAAATTTCATTAGCATACTTTTGATTTTTTGCCAGTATTTTTCTGCATATTATGGAAATAGTTCTGAATGTTAACAAATAATTATGAAACTGTAACAAGTACTTTTTATTAAGGCTGTGCGAAGCTTCTGGTGCTGATTCAATCTGGAGGAGATTTGGCCCAATTCGGCAGTTGAATCTCCGAATCCGAATTGAATCGAATCGAATCAGGAGACCAATAAAAAGGTCTGAATCAATTTGAAGTTCTCCAAATCAATTTGGAAAAGATTTGGAGAGCTTTGGAGATTTGGGCAATCCCCACTCACCGCTGCAGGGAGCTGGACCCAGACTCCGTGCCATTAAGTAGGGGGTGGGGAGTGGCTAGAGGATGGGGTAGGGGACCATAGGGGGGACACCTGCCAGGCCCTGTCCCCTGTCTGCTCCCCCCAGCCCCCCCGAGCACCCTGCTGACCCCAGCCTGCTCTCCTAGCCCTCCTCCCCCATGACTGCCCTGCCTGGTCCCAGCTCCTGGTTCCTTGAGAAAAAAAAAAGCCCCTCACTCACCAGATGCTGCAGCAGCTGTTGGGGCTTCTTGGGGCTAATGGCAGAGCTCCCCCATGCAATGTAGGGCAGTGGGGTGCAGCAGGGCTCTCCGCCCCGCCTGGCACCCTTTTTTTTTTTTAAAGAGCCAGGACACTGGGGCTGGGAGAGTGGGTGGGGAATGGGGGTTGTGACATAGCCCCCCATGTAGTGTGAGGAAGTGGAGGGCAGTGGGGATCACCCCTCTGCCTGGCAGCAGCCAGTGAGTGCCAGGCTTTTTTTTTTTAAAGAGCCGGGATGCTGGGGCCAGGCGGGGCAGCCATTGAGGGGCTGGGAGAGCGGGTGGGGGGATGGGGCCTGTTTGTTCTGGAGATTTAGCTGATTCAGAGGTGGCCAAATCTTTGAATCAGATTCGGCTGAATTGATTCGGGGCAGTGATCTGAATCACTGAATCAAATCACTGTCCCCTGAATCAGCCGAATCCAAATCCAAAGCGAATACTAGTCACTTCACACAGTCCTATCTTTTATGTATTTAAAGACAGATTCTCTATTCTTTTAATATACTTAACATGAGTGAGCATAGCTTAATGTGACTCCTAGTATATGTACTGTGTAAGTCTGAGACTCAAAATGTATCCAGTTATTTGGAAGGTAGAGAAGCAACTGCAAACTGAACAAGTCCTCTCTCAGGATTATCTCTTTTCCCATGCACCATTCATTTGTAAGCCACAGCTTTGACCAGAGAAAGATAATTGTCCTCTAAAAATGCATGGAAAAAATAGACATGATTCTGTTCTCTATATTCTTTGTAATCTTAGGCATTACTAGAACAATGTTTGCCCACTTTGTTTGACTGTAGAAAAAGGATAGAGGATTTATAATGTGTGCTACTATGTAAGAAACTGAACTGAATTCATTTAACCTAGAGCTTTAACAATACTGTAGTTGAAATCATTTTAATTACTGTCAGTCTTGTTGGAGCTGGAGTCAAAAGTTTTTTTTCATTAAAATTTGTGGCTTGTTAAATGGTCTAATCCAGGTATTTTACAATCAAATTACTTGGTGGTCTGCTGATGATCTTTGTGAAAAATTAATACGAACACCCGTTATCAAGAAGATGGAATGCAGTATGTATTTGTATATTTATTACACTATTTTGGAAATGTGAAGGATTGAATCCTGACTTCTATGAGATCTGGCCAAGTTTACAAGTGGGAAGAAGACCACTGTTGTGGAAGGCTTGTATAATGCACTCTGGGCATAGAGGAGGGTACATATATATGAGCAGACTCAGTCTGCTGGAGCGTGGTAATTACTGTGCTCGAGCAGACTCCAGCATCTTATGTATTAGTGTCCCCGCACTGAAAAGTGGCAGCGGGACTCTCTAACTAAAGTTTTTTCAATGAACTTTAGTTAAAGTGCCCCCACTGCCATTTTTTAATGCGGGGACACTGATACACAAGATGCTTTGGGTGCTTTAATTAGAGTGGCTCTTGGAGCTGCTCTAATTAAAGTGCCTGCCCTGAAGCACATGTATAAATGTCCAGATGGTCTGAGGCACTGCCTAATCCAACCTAAAAAGAGAAGGAAGCCAATGCTGCTTCCTGTGTAGTCACCCCCATTTGTTTGTTGTTTGCAGACTCCATGCCATAGTCTAAACAATTAATTACTATAACTGCTGCTGTGGCTTATGCCTTTCTGCATGATATAGGAGTTTGCTAGCCTCTATTTTTTTCCTGGTGATGGTGGCAGGGCTGATAGAAATCAATGGTGTGGTGGTAAGATTCTGTAGTGTATGTATGTCTGTGCAAAGCCTCTGAGAGAAAGGCAGCAAAGAAAGAAACAATAAAGGAGCAGGGGGTGGGGAAGAAGGGAAGGAAGTCAAGACAAAGTTAGAGAGAGGTAGTTAGCCACATTAGTTTGAAGTCAGGCAAAAGGCAAGGCAGAGTTGCATCTTATAGACTGATTCAGAGATGCAGAAACTTTTCTCAGCAACTTACTTCACCAGATACTATGCAAGGGACTGCAGGGGACAGGCATTCAGAAGTGCTGTTAGCTTATCTCAGGATCATGATATGAGATAACTTTTTAGTAAAGTGCTGACTGAAAACGGGGTTGGAACTGGGAGAAAAGAAACTCTCTTGCTCTTTGCTTCTTGCTATGTTCAGAGAAGAAGGGACTTGCTTACCTTCTTTGTAAACAAACAGAGTAGCATCAGAGATACCTCACATCCTTATTTGTTTCTTGTAATAGATACAAGCCACAGGATCCTGAATGTTAGTTAACTGCTTGGGTCAAAGGAAGCAGCAGTACTTCCCCTCCTGCCTCTGCTTGTGTTCGTATGGCAGATAACTCCTCCATATTCTGGACTGGAATAAGTGAAAATATTTTTAGGCAAAGAACATTTTCCAGTTCCCAGCTATCGCTGCAACTCCTTCTTTGTTCTTCCTTCTCTTCACTGTTGCTCATATGCTTAGGGCTGGATTATTTTGTATGAAGAAAGTATTTCTAAAAGAGTCTTACAGTCTCTTCCTGATTCTTGACATTCTTGCTGATACAAAATCAGGGTATAACAGGAAGGCTGAGTGAGCCTATTATATTTCAGCACTCATGTGTACTTGCACAAATATGTGTATTCCCATAACTGAAAGTTCCTTCTCAACATTCAGGAAAACAAAATATAGCTATCCAAACCTACACCCACAAAATCACAAATAGATCAAAATGCAATTCAAGCTGGCAGGCATTTTTCTAAATAATATCTCCCATTATTAGCCCAGTAATAATGGACTATCAGAACAAGGTACTTTACATGATACATCAGCATTACAATCCAAACATTTGTTGAAGAAGATTTGAAGAAAGTTCTAGTTAAATGGAAGAGATGCATGCCACTTAAAGTTAAAAGAAATATAGAAAGGACTTAGCCAAGCAGGGATGAAATCAGGAAGACCAAAATGCAACTGGAGTTGCAGCTAGGAAGGGACATAAACAAGAAAAAGAAGGGTTCCTACAACTCTATCAGCAACAAGAGGAACATCAGGGAAACTGTAGGTCCCTTACTGAATGGGGGAGGCAACCTAGTGACAGATGATGCAGAAAAGGCTGAAGTACTCTCTGCCTTTTTCACCCCAGTCTTCACAGGCAAGGTCAGCTCCCAGTCTACTGCACCTGGTAGCACAGTCTGGGGAGAAGGAGAACTGCCAACAGTGGTGAAAGAACAGATGAGGGACTTTTTAGAAAAGGTGGATGTGTGCTAGTCTCTGGGGCCAGATGCGATGCAGTCAAGGGTGCTAAGGGAGTTGGCTGATGTGACTGCAGAGCTGCTGGCCATTATCTTTGAAAATCTGTGGTGATAGGGGGAAGTGCCAGATTATTGGAAAAAGGCAAATAGAGTGCCCATCTTTAATAAGGGTAAGGAGGAGGATCTGGGCACCTACAGATTGGTCAGCCTTGCCTCAGTCCCTGGAAAAATCATGAAGCAGGTCCTCAAAGAACCAGTCTCTAAGTACTTGGAGAAGGTGGTGATTAGGAACAGTCAGCATAGATTCACCAAGGGCAAATCATGCCTGATCAAGCTGATTGCCTTCTATGATAAAATGATTGGCTTTGTGGATGCGGTAGAGCAGTGAATGTGATGTACCTTGACTTTAGCAACACTTTTGATATGGTCTCCCACGGCATTCTTGCAATCAAGCTAAGGAAGTCTGGGTTGGATGAAAGGACTGTAGGGTAGATAGAAAACTGGATGAATTATTGGTCTTAGGGTAGTGATCAATGGCTTGATGTCTAGATGGCAGCACACCGAGTGGACTGTCCCAGGGGTCGGTCCTGGGCAAGTTTTGTTCAATGTCTTCATTAATGATTTGGAAGAGGGAAAAAGTGCATCCTCAGCAAGTTTGTAGATGACACCAAGCCGAGGGGTGTAGCAGATTTACTGGAGGCTAGGGCTAATATTCAGAGACCTAGATGAATTGGAAGATTGAACCAAAAGAAATCTCATGAGGTTTAATAAGGATAAATACGAAATCCTGCACTTAGGACAGAACTATCCCATGCACCAGTACAAGCTTGGAACTGAGTGGCTAAGCAGCAGCTCTGCAGAAAAGGGCATGGGTGGGGGGTTACAGTGGACAATAAACTGAATATGAGACAACTGTGTGCCCTTGTTGAGAAGGCTAATAGCATACTGGGCTACATTAGTAGGAGCATTGCCAGCAGATCAAGGGAAGTGATTCTTCGCCTATATTTGGCACTGGTGAGGCCACATCTGGAGAACCATGTCCAATTTTGGGCCCCCCACTACAGAGAGGGTGTGGACAAATTGGAGAGAATCCAGCAGAGGGTACTGAAAATGGTTGAGGGGCTGAGGAACATGACTTATGAGGACACGGTGAGGGAACTGGGCTTATTTGATCTGGAGAAGAAAAGATTGAGAATGGATTTAATAGCAGCCTTCAGCTGCTTGAAGGGCGGTTCCAGAGAAGATGAAGCTAGACTGTTCTCAGTGGTGGCAGATGAC